AAAATACTTGAGCCAGAACATGAGAAGAAATTTCCGTCCACCGTGTCTCTCTCTCTCTCTCTCTCAGTGTATTAACAGATTGATATAAGATTATTTTCCCCGCCCCTTCAAAAATAAGAAGCCAAAAAACTCTGTTCTCAGTTCCTAGTGCACTGTAAAAGTCATGAGCCCTTCCACAGATATACTTTAGCAAATCATTCCACAAGGTGTGCACAATCAATGGATGAATTGTGTCAACACGGATGATTGCTAATTAAGAAATAATAATATTAGTAATAATAACAAGAAGAAGAAGACAATTGCAATGACAGATGAAACAATGAACCCTTAATTGTCCAAAATATCTGAGATAGTAAATTAGATTAAATGATACAATTTGCTAGGGGAAAATCCCAATTACTAGAGAGACAAAAGAATAAACTTACTTTTCCTGCCATCGATGAAAAATTACTAGCTTAGTTTTCCCCATCGCTTTCTTTTGAAACCGGAATGCCACAATGTGTTCATCATCCTTGATTGAAGCCAATGGCTCCAAAGGCATCTCTAGATATCGGTAAATCTTGTTTTCATATATCTGATATTGAAGGTTTACTACTTCAGCCAATCAAGGTAATGTATAATTTAAACAGCTAAAAAAACTACGAACCAATTCAAGATATGTTTACCTCTGCAAGCATCAGGCTTTCATCACTCTTCAGACCACATGCAGTACCTAATGCCAAAAGGAGATCTTTACAGAAACCATTTTTCAGCACAGAGACTGTAAATGGCATTGGTAGATGACTTCCATCACCATAAAACACTGTCACTGTCATTGTCCTAGTGATAGTTGAAGGTAGTGGCAATGATAGATACATGAAGGGGTCAAAGGTGATAGAAATTTTGCTACAAACTGGGCAAACCAGTTTAGACTTATATTGACCCTGAGAGGCAAGAGCATTATAAACAATATTCCGATTGTTAGTAACAAAAAGGAAAACCAGCTCAATTTCCATGCTCAGAAACAATAAGTCATGATGCAAGATGAATGAAAATTGAAAACAATTACATAAGCAAGAAAATATTAAATATTAAATCAAAAAAAAACATTAGACACCGAAAGTCTGGCCTAAAATTAAAGAATGGAAAAGAATTATATAATGAAAAATATAAAAAAGGAATTTCTAATTTTTTCCAGGAAAAAATATAATTGGTCATAAAACTGCTTAAATTGCACTGACAACAAATCTAAATTAGAAATTGTATTTCCCATGAAAAATTCATATACGACTCTCCAACATAGCTTTAAAGAAGATCTTTATATGCAACTCTAAATCAAAACATTCAATCAAAATTATAAAATATCTCACTTGGCAAACATCCACAATTACTGAGTCATTTCGGGCCTTGTGATTTTTCCAACACTCAGCAGCAACTTCCTCATCAGGACGACCATCAGAATCCTTCATTTCAATATAAGGTTTTTGTTTGACCTGATTTAAGTCTTCATGCAACCCATCCAGTATGAAAGCCAGAAGTTCCTAGAAGAAAAATGTCCCACCATTATAGAAAGCATGAATATGATAAAACTGAATAGATGCAACCCTGAAAAGTTATATCTATAGATATCATTCAAACAACATTGTAAGTTGCTTTTAGTATAGTGCAGAAGATCCATACTCCATACCTAGGCCTTGGAATAATTACAAGTCAAAGATTAAGACATGGGATTCTTCAAGCATTCATTACCCAACCCTTAGACCCTAATCTAATTTGTGCTTAACGTCTCATTTTTCTTCTTTTTTTCTTATTATGTACCATTCTTCTTCTTTTACCACAAGGACAAAGAGGCCGAGTCAGAATGCTCCAAGTCATGTCAGACAAGTATTTGGCTCCCATACTTGTGTGGTGTCAATGCAATAAAAGTGGTGAACATACTCTAATATCCAACAACTTTATACTACTAAATTCCCAGCAATGCAGAATAAATACGATTCATAGAAAATACTTACTTGAGAATCGTGCTGGTTGTAACCACTAAATTGGGGTGCAAACCGAGAAAGTTTTCCCTTAAATACACGTGGAGCTATAGCAGTTCGCCCTGAGGACCATAATTTTCGTAACAAATCACCGAATGCAAGTGCAAGCTCTCCCTGCACAAATAAACTTATTGTTAGAGATATTGTGGAGTGGTCAACGAAGGTATCAAAATTGTCCAACTGAATAAATTACATTAAACTACAAAAGAAATTGGTCACTACAAAAGAAATTGGTCGATAGCAGCTTACATGCATTCCCAGGGGATTTTGTGTGTTGATCTCAGCACTGTAATCTTTTAAGAAATACTCAACAAGAGGGGGAGTGTGCACTAAACATTGAAGAGCGCTATTCATAAAACAAGTATTTCCTAGGTTTTGCAATCCAGCCAGCCCCCCCTTCTCCCCTTTTCTAGCAGAGTTATAAGCATCCAAACCATCATCCATATCTGTCAATCCAGCGCTTAAGGAACTTCCTGGATACAGATTTGTCGTGTAACCTGAAGAGTGCCCATTGGACAAGTTTGACCCACCAGCAACTGTCAAGGGTGATCTTGAAGGTTCCAACGAAACCAAAGCTAGTTCATTTCCTGTAGAATCCATGCCAAATCTAGAAGAATGACGCCCATCAACTTGCTCCAGAAGAATCTGTAATGTTTCAGCAAACATACAGGTAAATGAAGACCAATTAGAAATGGGAACAAGAAGAACAACAAAAAGATCCTCACATCTTGATCCATCTGTAAGTTGGATTCTTCTAGGCTTTTGGTTGAAACAAACAACTGTGAATACTTTCTCTTGTTGAAGTAATCCCAGAGGCGAGCCTAGCGATATAACCAAACATGTTATTCATGTAAAATTGAAAAAAAAATTATTATGTAGTGTTTATATTAAGAATACATCATTTGAAAAAAAAATGATATGCTCACCTTATCCTGCTCTATTCCTCTAAGTGCACAGACTTTCTGTAAAAGCTCAGTTACAGAAGCCTAAACATGACATCCAACCAAAGGGGTTTAGAATCTGCTCGGTCAAACTAAAATAAAATTGCATAATTTCAAGGACACCAAAAAATAAGACTTCAGAAACCAAAAAGCTTCTCCAAATCACTTCAACAATGGTTTGAAATGGAACTATTTCCAGTTTCGCCTTGGGTTTTAGAACTTACAATTAAAAGACATCGAAACAAAAACCTGTTTAAACAAACTACTTCATTCTGAGTTTCTGACCAAGATAGCAAAAGAACGGACAAATCCTCAATCCATGCAAATAAAAGTTGTACCTTTCTGCTTATCCATATAGTTGACCGACTTTCATCCCTGGAATCCATCAGTTTTAGACAAAGAGGGTAAACTTCCACATCAAATTTTCGATGGAGAACACCCTGCAAAATCATCTTTCTCGGCAATGATGGCCCTCCTTGATACCTATATACGAAAATCAAAAGCAAATTTTACAAGATATCTTCCCAAAAAAGTACAGCAAAGGGTACATTCAGGTGTATGACATATAATCAAGTAAGCATATGTTCTTTCCATGTGTATCCATTTCAATTAACATGAATATCCAATTATTACCATTTAAAAGGAATTATAACTCTCTCAAAGGCTTTCAACTATAGATCTTCATTTTTTCAAGTTCTTTGGTAACTTGAAAATTATGAGCAAGGCATGTATGTCTATATGCATGCTAGATATCAATGCAAAGAAGTTGTAAGAGGTGAAGCATTACCATTCATGAAGCTTTTCCCAAACTCCTTGTGGTGCCAAAACATAATCCTGCCCTTCCATTAACATTCTCTGAAGCTGAATCTCACTTTCCTTGCAAGCGCAGTCATTTCCATTCCCAACAATGTCAAAGTTGTCGATAGGACCAGGTCTTTCGGCCATGACGGAAGAAACTCCATTGATATGCCCAGAATCAGAAGATTGGTTCCCAATCAAATTTTCATCAGTGTCTATTCCAACGTACCTCTCCCACCTTCGAAACCAACTGTTAAGGAAAAGAAAAATCCCGTTCGTACAATTAATTGATACAAAATGCTAAGAATTAGGATATTAAGTTAATAAAAAAAACAAATCAAATGCATTCCTTCAAGATCCAGAAAGAAACCAGGAAAAAAAAAGAGTAGGTTGAAATTCATTTAAAAACGGACCTGCTGGAAATAACGAAATACAAGTTGCCTGGTTTCAGAGTACGTTCAGATTCGTTTTTCAAATCAGTAATGATCTTTTTTTTCTTCGGGCGTGCACGGCAAGCAACTTGTCCCGTTCTCCATCATGAAATCGGAATCTGGAATCGTCATGAACGATGAATCACCACCCAAACATCAGCTAAATCTCCAATTCTATTCAAAGAGGAAAAAACCCATCAAGAAAATGAATACTGGGGAGAACCCTAAACAGATCGGGAGAGGGGGTTGGGGGAGGAAATGAAATGAAATGAAGTGGACAAACCCAAATTAAACTTACTGTCCTTTCAACGACCTTGTCTTTTCCTCACTCACTTTTCTATAGAGTATAGACTTTAAACAACAACAAAACGGGAAATTACCCAAATCATCATAGATTCAAACCCATTTCTTTTTAGTTTTTTTCTCCGTTGTTTCACTCTTCCGTGCAGATTTTGATACTACTCGAGTTTAAATAATATTTTAACAAAATAAAGAGAACAGGTTTCTCTAAAGTGGTAGTAGTAGTAATAATAATCCAGTTGTTAAATACAGAAAACGATATTTGTTTTCCTTTTCTCGTCATCTATAATTTCGATCAATAAAAATTACGCCCACAGCTTGGCATTGGCATATATTTTCTACCCTTTTTGTTCACAACATTTCAGATTTTCATGGGTTAAAATGAGAAAGCAAGGACAAGATTGCAAGAAATGAGGCAAACTATGATTATTAATCACATAGGAAAAGTACACACCATACTGACTGTATGGTTTTGGGTCCTCAGGATCGCACAATGCACAAACAAAATAATAAAAGATGCTAAGCCATAACTTATGTGCATACCTTAGGACCACGATCGACTAACTGAGCCCATTCTTGTCGATTTCTTAGGCAATCAAGGACGGCTTGAGAATGACTAGAATATGCATATCGTTCTCCATTATGCTTCCTCAAGTTAGGCCAGTGCTGGACCAGCAGCAGAAAAGAAAGAATAAGAAACTATTATTCTCCCAAGAACTATCAGAAGTAAAAAAGAAAGAAGGCGCATGACAGACAGTAAGCAGTTCGCCTTACAGAAGCAACATACCGGCAGAACTGCATTACAAAGTTCTTCATATGTCATTCGCCTGCCCTTGCTCATAATGTCATTTATCAAGCCTGGAAATACAAAGGAATAATCGTGTAGATGCTTAACAAGAGAGTGAGCAAATAAACATGAGATTGATCCCAATTCAGGAAAATTTTGGTAAATTATACTTCCTTGGAGAGATAGTTACCGGGTAAAGTACGAGGTACAGAACCACGAACTGTGCCTGCATCATCATCAGAGAAATTTCTGGGTGAACTATGTACAAATGGCAAATTTTGTTCATTAGCTTCAGTCGAAGGACCACTGTTTGAGATTGTGGCGGGTGTGGGATGTACATTCTTGTCATTCCTTTTAGCAGAAACATCCATGGAAGAACCAAGATCTTGTCTCTGATCATGTGAAGATCGCACTTTATCAATCCTTTTAGCCTCATGATCGAGCTCACGAGATCCACGGGACCAATCTTTAGATGCATCCTTGCTTTTTCTTCTAGGGACCTAGGAGAACCATTATTGTCGAAACCTCTTACCAATGCAACCATCACTCAAAAAGGAACTGTAAGTAGGATAAAAAATATCAGATAAGGAAATGCACTTATTACCAAACTGTAATCCTTTCCGCCTGAGCTAGATGCACGTTTCATTAGCATGCTTGTTGCAGTTGCAGACGCCAGCTGTGGGAAACTACCAGTCTGCCGCACACGTGGAACACGAGGGACTCTCGGAGAACTATTAAGTTCTTGATGCAAAAGCAAAGCAAGCTGAAATTATAGAGGGATAATTTCTTGTTAAAGGAAGCTCCTAAAATTTCATTAAAAAAATCTGAACAAGAAGGTATAATAAATTATCTTATTAGAATATAACACTTGATCCCACACCTCTTCATCACTCAGAGTAGAGGAATTTGATGTTGCAAAAGGATGTACTGATGATGCATGTGTAACCTTAGATGCTATCTGGGTACTTGAATGGCTGAACTTTTCACCTTTCTGTGGTAAACCAGAAGCTGATGTCTTATTTTGTTGAATGTGCGTGGCAGATTGACTTTGCAGTGAACCAGTAGACTCGCCAGTGACTGAGGTAACTGAAGTATTCTGTACAAAAGATGCCTTTAAAGATGACGAAGGCACAGAATCTTTAGATTCAGATATGGTTCTTTTCAAAATGGAAGTATGTGAAATCCTGCTTTGGTGGTGTGAGACTTTCGAAGTAGAACCAGAAGAGGATTTTGTACGCTCTTTTGCCGGCTTATGTGATAACTCAAGTCTGTCTTCATCCTTAGGCACGTCATTTGTAGCATGATCTTTCTTACTGATGTTATTGTCAGGCATTACTCGTTGCTTTGTGTTATTCTGAGTATCTATAGGTTTAGAGTCATCGGGAATAGTTGATATGGGGATTATGGCAGCAGATGAAGTGGAAGATGACTTTCCAACACATTCTACCATTTTATGCTGGTTAGACTGTTCTTCAGAGGTTAGAACATTTACGCTTGCTTTAGGCTCTTCAGCAGATCTAGGAATATGGTTGGATTCTGAACTTTTCTTCACAGACTCAGAAAACTTCAGAACCCTCTAAATCATGTTTTAGCAACGAACAATCGGCAGACAACTCATTCGCTTTATCAGAATGACAATCAGCCACAATTTCCGACTCATAGACCTTTGCCTTACTGTGAGACAATTGTGAATTGCCTCTAACCCTGTCATTCATCTGGGACGTTTCTGTTTCTGGCATCTGATGGAAAGATATCTTAGTATCTTTAGTATCATCAGGATTAGCACGCTTATCAATTAAGAAAACATCAGAATCACCATCATTCATTTTTCTTTTCGCCTCAATCTCAGGTTTGTAAAAGCTGTGAGACATGCCCCTGTTAGAATCTTCAAGAATATAATTACCCTGAACTCTCAGGGCAGTACTGGCCAAAACATCAACCTGATGTTCCTGAAGACTTCTTGTAGAATCTTCTAATACAACACCATCTACTTTGATAATTGTCATGTTTTCACCCTGTTGCAAAAATACAAAAGGTTACATAAAGCGCTAAGTCAAACCAATTGCATCCCTAAACACTTGTATATAGCCCTACACTATTCACACACAAAAGCATGTGGAGTATTTGCATGCAAACTACACATAATGCTAGTATGAAAACCCCGACAACATCATCACAGAGTTGCTTTTGATTTTACATAAACTGACAAAACAAGCACAGATTTGCTTCGAAAAAATAGATGGAGAGTGTGGAGGCTGTGATAGTGCCGGTGGCACCAACTAATAGCACTGTTTTCCTTCTCGCATATACTTTTTCTAATAAAATAATATCCATCAGTTATTATATTAGGCAAAAAAAAAAAACAAAAGAAACAAATTTGTATTCATGATACCAAAGAATGGAAGACATAACAAAGATACCTCTTCTTTAGCAGAAGTTATCCCAGTATATTTGTGCACTAATGGCAATTGAACAAGATCTTCTGTTTTTGGAGTGCCTGTCATAGCTGGGGGAAATTGATCATCAGCCTTCTCCTTCCCGTTGTCTTTAATTGAATTGTGTCCAGACAAGACAGAAGGTGAGACCTCTGAAGTATGCTCCCTTCCTGATGCATTGATCTTAAGCCTTTCGACCGCACAATTTAGTGCAAGATTACCATCGGATGTTGGTTCTTGAAGCACGCTGTCCTTAAAATTTTTGTTCTTTCCACTCTGAGCATCACTGTGTAAGACTTCGAAACTCTGTCTTCATAAAATTCCAATTGTTTTGCATCACAGCTGGGTCTAAACACTATTAATAAGAATGCAAACAAAAAAAAAGAACCTGGAGTCAACATGCATGTGCCAACTCTGGTAAAGATGAGGTTCTCTTCACCATCGTCAAATTGACCCCGCAGATGCAGTCCACGGTCCATGAACCGTCTCCCCAGTCGTCATGGGGTTCAGCCAGATGTGTCCGGCCTTTCATATTCGTTATCCTAAAGCCTAATTAGAAAAAAAAAGGATCAAAAAGTCCTAACCTAAAAGTTCCTAAATTCCTATCCTAACCACCCCAATTCACATTGAACGAAAACTGTTGGGCTAATTTAACATCATTCTCCTATCATTTTTTTTGCCGAAATTGAGTTAAAATTGAGGAACGAGTACCTGGAAACATTAAAACCCTTCGTCGATGCGATGATTCGAGACTTTCTCGGCGTTCTCAGGGGGTAGACGAATATTGCTTCAGCCTTGTGCAGGGTCGGACCGGAACTAAAAGGGTATGAAATAAGAGGGAAAAAACTACATCTATGAATTCTTTTGGCGTCCGCCTCCAACTCTCTCATTCTTTTCTCTTTGGCGGTTCGGCTTGGCTTCAAAATATCCCAATTCCTTTTCCTATTAGTGGCCCGAGCCCATCCACCCACAACCCAGCGGTTTCACCACTGATTAACTTAATTATTTTATAAGGAAAATTATATCCCCCTGATTAGGATATTTAAAAAATTATTTGTTAATTGTTAGTCAAAAAAAATATTTGATCTGTGATATTTAACTCATTGATTCGTAAAAAATAATTGAATATATTTAAAAAATAATACTATATCAAGTTTTCAAATCCTTACATAATATAGGTACACGTGTCGATCAAATTGGGCCATTATATTTGGTTAAATGGATATTTAGGGTCTGTTTGTTTCCCGTAATTGGAATTACGGAATTGATTTTCCCCGAATTCCCGTGTTTGTTTCACGTAATTCGTTTTCCGGAAAATGTTTCCCGTGTTTTGTTCACGTATTTCGTTTTCCGGAAAATATTTCCCGTTTTGTTTTACGTAATTCGTTTTCCGGAATGTAATTCATTTTCCTAGAACAGAATTTCCTGTGTGTTTCTGAAAATGACTTACGGATTCATTTTCCGTAAGTCATTTTCCGAACTTTTTCACTCAAAGCAAAAATACTCAAAATAATTTTATTTTATGAATTTAATATTAATAAAATATTTTAATATCATTTTCATCAAAAATATTAATTATTAAAATATTTAAAATATTTATTAATATTTATAATAATATATATTTATTTTTAATATTTATAAAATAATCAATTATATATATAATAAAGATATTATATTTTTATTTTAATATATATAATTTTTTTATATTTAATATGAATAATTATTTATATATTTCAATAATATTTTAGTAAAGATTAAATATACTAATTAATATTTTTAAATATAATATAGTACTATTACTTTAATAATAATTAATATAATTTATAAAATTTTATTTCACTAAAATATACCGAAAAAATGTTTAAATAACATCTTTCAAACATCATAAAACATTTTCCAGATGTTTTCCAGAAATGTAATTCATTTTACAGAAATGTAATTCATTTTACAGAAATGTAATTCATTTTCCAGAATTCAAATTCCAGTAATTCATTTTCTAGTAATTCAAATTCCAGTAATTCAAATTCCAGTAATTCATTTTCTGGAAAACCAATTACAGCTAAACAAACAGACCCTTAATCTGGTTTATTAAGGAGTATCTATTTTCTTAAATTAAATTAATTGATTATAAAATAATATTTTTTGTAAGTATTCTAAATTATTTGATAATAAACGTTTAAATATCTTTGTAGAAGTTGGTACTAGATAAGGTAATGGGTTGGTTAAGGTCTGGTTTTTTGATAATCTGACCTGGCCCGAAGATATGTATCCTCCACTCGAACTCGACCTAAAAATTTTATAACATCCATTTGACCCGACTAGAAAAATATATATCTTCCGCCCGACTCTGATGCAACTCGAATTTTTAGAATATAAATTTGACCCTATCTGACCTACCCGATAAAAGTAAATATTTAATTATATTATTATCCTCGGGTCGAGTCGGAGTTTTTTCTCCCTCCACCCGAACCTAACCTGACCTCGCCCCTTAAAAAATCCGACCCGAACTCAAAATCTTTTTAATAAAAATCCTTTAATACAACAATCATTTTTCTATTTATTGAAGTAGCTTGATTCGTATAAACAAATAATATTTAAAATATCGAATTTAAAGAAATATGTCCATAAATAATTAAGGTTAGTCGGTAGGGAAAATGGTTATCAATAAAGTATATTTCTTTAATCGTTGTTTTTTAGATTTTTAAGCTTTATTTTTAAATAAATAATGTAATGTTAGAAAATGTCTTAACGTTTAATTAAATTATCATTTAGATCTCTATTTCTTTTTAAAATATTTTGACTCTTTAATATTTTATTTTGGAGTAAAGAAATTACTCCGTTAATGAAAACCGCTAATTAACAGATAATTGATACTTCAAAATAGAGATATTATTACTCTAAAACGAAACGTAGAATACTAAAAAAAATAGAGGCTAAAATAACAATTTTAATAAATGTTGGGCTATTTCGGCATTATGCCTAAACAAAAATTCATCATTTTTAGGTTTCAGGTTTTTCTTATATTTTAAGTATTCACGTTGTTTGTTAAAGAATTTAAATTACGAGAAACATTATTTCAAGAAGACGAAATACATAAATCAAAAATAACTATCAAATAGACATTGAAATAGTCCAAAATATTAGCATTCCGAACCTTTAAATATATTTTTGTTGATTTTGAATGTGTTTCATATAAAACCAATCTAAGAAAAAAAAGTGAAATATGAACAGTTTAATATTAATCTTATTGCAGATGACGAAGGTAATGAAATACTATTAACAACAAACAAAGATCGGAAAGTTTAATGTCTAAAACCGTAGATTTTAAAATTTAATGACAATATTGATACACAAATCATAGAGTTTATATAGTCCTTAAAAGCAACATCATGTTGAGCATCAATATATACATTCCAATACAACATCATTTTGATAACATTATCACGTTGACCAAAATTATCGTCTACATCAACATATTATCTATCACTTAAAGATCCAATGGTATAATCGTATACAAAATTAAATTTTATATGTTACGATGTTATCAATTCATGATTTAAAGATAAATTTGATTAAGAGTTGGTAATATATAATTAATCTAATTTCATAGTATGGAAATTGGTCAACAACGTCATGTAAACCATTACCTAGAATAGAATATAAAATTTGAAGGGTTTAATGCATGTAAGTGAGTTGAGCAAATCATGTGACAATAATTGTGATTCAACTCAAGTACATTTAAAGGAGATCACAGAGCAAAGATGGTGGGGACTTGAGAGTTTAGACTATACCTCAAGGCAAGGGCAGCAAACTGCAGCAACACCAGTCTTTAATCACGCCTTGGCCCCCTTGCCTTCATGCACGGCCATAGCCTGTAAAAAAATCCAATGGAAATTTTGTTGGTCGTAGTGTTTGAATTTTTTTCATTTGTCCTTTGCACTTGTATTTTGCAGACGAAACGATTTGGGAAACTATATAGAATGCAGTAGAATCCAATTAGTTTGACCAGTCCGCCATGGAAATGGAGCCAAGTAGCCAACTCATCCAAGGGGGATTCCCTTTGGCCTTTGTTCAAGTTGGTGGTACGTTTGGTGGTCTTCGAGGAATCGTTAATGCGGATTATACAGCAGCAACAACAAAAGGGGGGGGGGATTAATTCCTCTAGTGAACCACTGCTCTTGCTGCTGCTGCCGATGAACCACGTGAAGCCAATGGGGTTTGTTCAGTTGTTTTAAAAGACCCATCAATCGAAAAGGCCGAGCAATTTTCAAGGGACTTTGGATTCTTATGAAAAAAAACTATAAACATTAAACATTCTAGTCTCTCCTTTCTCATGTTTCTATCATATAATATGGTAGTGTTTTTACTGGTTTTTCGTGACAAAGTATCTGATACTCTCGCCATTTGTTTTTGTTCCCCATGCCACTAGAAAACACCTACCGTTTAGCAGATATATTGGGCCTCTTACCTCCTGTTAGATTCTGCAACAAATGAACATCATCTCCTCTTCTCTCTCTCTTTCCCTCCTTGCAAATATATTCATGCTTTGTGAAGGAATTAATCATCTGCCTGACCATGGGAAAGAACACAGCTGCCTCGTGGTTGTCGATGGTGAAAAAGGCTTTCAGGTCTTGTTGGGAAATAAACCAAGTACAAGTAATTTCCCTATAGTCAGATTAGTGAGAATACGAAATAAAAGCAGAAAAATAATACCCGAAATTGATAACGGAGTTCAACCAATTGTGCTTACGTCTCCGAACTGCTGCAGATCTTTTACTAAGAGAGAATTTACAGGTGTTTACAAAACACTCACTACTCACAAGAAAACTCTCTAGTATTGAGAGAAAGAAATGATTTTTTGGGATGGTTTTGAAGCTAAATGAGCTAGGGTATTTATAGTTGAAACTTAAGGACTTAATCTTGTAAATACCCTAAAGCCTAGGGATTAATTGTGATTATCCCATTATCATTTTTCAACAAACATCTACCAAGCTTTGAAAAAACTATTTTTCAAAGAAACATTTACCAAACTTTGAAAACCATTTTTTCAAAGTTGGTTACCAAACTTGAAAACCATTTTAATAATTTCAACAATCTCCCACTTGAAGACTGATTTTAATCTGTCTTCACACCTCGATCAATGCAACAGCTTTTCTAGTCTTGTTACTCTAGCATGCAAACTGAAGTTGAACACAACCTCAGTTTGTCTGTAGTCACCGTCTTTGTCAACATGTCTGCCGGATTTTGAGCTCCACTGATCTTTTCAAGTTTCAAAATCCCATCTTCCAGAAGAGATCGGATAAAATGATATCGCAATTGTATGTGCTTTGTCCTGGAATGAAAAGACGAATTCTTTGCTAGATGTATATCACTTTGACTGTCGCAATACAAGACATTGTTTTCTTGTTTCTTGCCTAACTCTTCCAAGAAACTTTG